TATATATACATATATATATAAATATAGAAATATGTGTGCATGCTATGCGTGGGCGCTATTTCAAGTCTATTTCGATCTTAATTACGTGCCACTCGCGGTGAGCTAATGAGCGGCCGATCTATTTTTGCCTAATTGTACAATTGGCCCGGGGCGATAAGGGGCTCGTGCTAGGGAAAGTGCCCAATCATTTCGTTTTTCTTTCGGGCTACCCGTTCCACAGTCCACAGCAATGACAAATCAATTACAGCAGCTGATAAGCTGAGAAATGAAACCGAAATCAATGTGACTTCATTTCTATTGCTTATAACTGATGATCAAACTGATCAACTGATAGCATTAGGCCTCAAGTGGCAATCGCTGCCCGCAATTTGAACGATTTACAGCCAGACAATTGGACACTGACACGAAAGGCGTTGCACGTTCTTAATTAGGTGATGAACAAATCTTCCATTTGCGCACAAATATCGGAAACAAAGCAGCGTTAAAAACGAATTGGCTTTTAAGGCAACTTGTGCTCCGTTACGAACAGCTGTTGGCATCTAAAATTAGTTTGCGTACAGCTTTGCAAAGCGGTGTAATAAATAAGGCTATAGTACATATGTAACAGGTAAAAGTTGGCCTCGTTGATCCATCCAAGCTATATAGATGCTCTGTATTTCATAGAATTTTATTAGAGTAAAATTCAAATTTTTATAGAAAATAATCAAATTAAAGTCAGCTATTAAATGTTGCTAAAGTTTGTATATCGAAACTGAATATATATATTTAAAGAGCAGTGTATCTGCTAGTCGATTAACCACAGTAAATGCAATTGCCAAATTTGTAAAGCAAAATTCGATAAAATATACTATATGGTATTTATGTACGATATAGATATGTATATATATGAAGCACATATAAAGGCTGGCTGGGCTTTTTGGCTTCCTTGTTGTATTTTAGTAACGCTTAAAGCTTCCGGGCACAGAGCTGTCAGTCTCAGTCGCATCAGTATTGGTTTTTCTCATCAAGCTAACGAATTCTGAGAGAGTTCTCTTAGGGAGCAGATTTATGTAGATATAT